CCAGATGCGCTCCCACGCCCCTCAAGGGACTGCATCGCATAGTGAGCGGATTTTCATCACGACTCTTTTCTTCCTCCTGCTGAAAAATCACCATTAAAGAGACACACTCACTCAGAGACTCACTGTCATCAGGAACATAGAACTCCGCAGCTTGCTACTGGTATTCATTGATAAAATTAGAAAATTCCAAGACTCCTTCAAAAGCCTAAGTCCTAAAGAGTAAAAATACCCCATAAAACAACAGCTAACAGGTGATACCAGAACACCTTACACTCTCCTGAAATCCACCGAGGAAAATGGCGCAGATCCTATTAACAAAGTGTTACGTGATAAAAATCTGCATAAAAGAAAAAAGGCAAACTTTTAATGGGTACGGAACACCTTGATGGAGACCCCACCATGTGAAGTTTACTAAGTAGACCAGAGAAAGCACTAGTCCCTGTTTGAAACTCTCCCCATTGGCTTTAGCTTTTATTCCACCTCATGCTGAACCATGATGACAAAGATTAGTAAAGAGCATGAGTGTTGTTTAAGCTCTAAATTATTAGTGTGGCATGAGAGTTGTTTAAGATCGTGCCTGAAATGGGTGTAGAGCACTAGAGAAGACGCAGCGTAGCCAGATCTTTTCGGTGGGCCCCGGAAGGGCCCGGGCGCCGCAGACGGCGGGGCCTCACTGTCTGTGGGCCCGCTGTACAGAGTCTGGTGGCACCTCATTTCCAGATGCTGGTGCTTAACACACGGAGATGCTCTTGGGAGCACCAGATGGTCCAATCATGGGAGTTTAGAGACTGGATCTCCTTTGGGGTTTTTAGTGCCGATGACAGCTTCACCTATCTCTCTCCCCTTTTCACGTGCCGGACTGTCCTCCTCACCACACCCTAGAGGGGAGCCGCGTGGACTTCAGGAGGGGGCAGTGTGTGTCGTGATTTGACTTATTCTCGTCAGAGGGGATGGGGCATTTTTCTCCTCAGGAACCTAAGCTTTTGACAGTGTGCTCGAATTCTGCTATTTAAAGGGAAAAAAATGAAAGCTGTTTAAGGCACTTTAGATCTCATGGTTTTATGATGAATTCATGAGACAACTATTCAGATTGACTAGTAGAAAAAATACTGCGGCTGGGAACTCACACCTCCAGGGAAGAGGCGGCAGCCCCGCTGCTGCCTGAGTCAGACGGGTTTGGGGGGTGGGGCAGGCAGACCCCGCCAAGGGGGTCTGGCGCTGAGCAACCCCGCATGCCTTTCCGTCTCTAATTGCTGAGTTTGTGACTCTTGTGGGAATTTCTCAACCCATAAAACGTGCCCTTTTTCTGTCCCTTGTAATGGCCTAATGGAATAAACACTCATAAATATATAAGTTCCCAAAGATAAGAAGTGACATCAGCCGCCTTCCTTTTACCTGGCAGTGAACATTTTATCTTAAGTGTATCGGTCATGTGCTCTCTCTGCTCCTCACCCCCCCCCCACGCATACACCAAAGGTCTGAACTCTTGTCATTTGATTCTTTTACACGTTCTGATGCCTAAGTGCCTACTGATGGGATAAATCTAAATTTTACACACTCTCGAACACACAGCAAAGAGATCATTGGACTATAGCATCTACGTGTGATTTTTCAGTTGAATCTCCACCCATCTGGCTCAGGCCAGAGAGACCCTTTACAAGCAGAGTTACAGGGTCTCAAACAGCAAGGAGGTGGAGGAAGTCACTTTGGCTGTCAAAGTTGGATTTAAAAAACAAACACAGAGACTGCCCAGTGGCATCCTTGGTACTGTGGAGACTGGTTTCCGCTGGGCTGGAACTTGCTCAGTTTCAGAGGTGCCAGGACAACCTGACGGTCTTCCACCAATGGGACCCGCCCTGGTGCACGTCAGAGGCAACCTGAAGATTGCTTAAGATTTCTCCGGCCTTTTCATTTTTTAGAGTCTTATGATCGGTCACATTGCACTCGTGTACTTCACCCTGAAAAAAATGTGGAGGTGGGATGCCCCTAAACGTGAGCAGCAGTCCGTTCTAGTTCAGAGAAGGGAAGAAGGAGACCCACCCCCACGGCCCCTTCCAGGGCTCCGCACACCTGAAATGCAGGTGAGGTCGAACTCCCTCTGCCTGCTTCCTGTTTCCTAGGTTCAGAGCTCTCTCCCCAGCCCCTAGCTAGGCCATGCTGAAGGCTGGCTGGCTTTTCATGGCCCTGGCCCTCAATACCTCTGGTGGAGGATGCAACTTTTCTCTGTTTAACACTGGCATGCAGGAAAGTCGAACAGTGTGGGTCGCAGGGGGAACGCGAGAACAAGACAGGAGGACCGATTAGTTCCGAAAGGTGCACAGAGGCATTCCCTTCTAGGCTCCCACATGCCGTAGTCTTTTTTCCTCGTGTGAGCAATCATCGGAATTGAATATAAAAAGTAGACGTGAATACTGCCTTTCAAGATAGGTATACCTGGAGTTTAAATCTGGCTTCTACTTACTCATGATGTGATCTTGAAGATCATCATCTGTAAGATAATGGCAAGAATAACATTTCCCTGTAGAGTCGTGTGATCTTTGTGGGTGCCCCATTCTTTTCTCTTTAAATATCTTACAGCTCCCTGTCTTCTTCCTGTTCCTCTTCTACTGCTATAGTTTAGCCTCCCGTAACTTAAGTCCAGTTTTGTTTTTAAGACTTTTCTATCTCCCCACACTCCATACCAACCACTCATGTACAGTTTTAATATATATGGGTTGGGCAAAACTAGGTTTACAGTTGTAATTACACAAAACACAGTTTATTCTTGTATGGTGATGTATTAATTATTGCATTATTTATTTGTATTGTAACTGTAAACCTACTTTTTCCCACCCCTGTGTACATATACGTATGCACAGTAATATTGTTGCACTGTGTCAACACTGTCCTGAGAAGAAGACATGTATATGATATAAGGCATTTCCATCCTTCGATGAGAAATTTATTCTTTATTTCACTGGGTACAAGGAGTCACGGTTTGACTTAAACTCTAACTAAGTGCGTGGAACATGGAGATCTATAGGAGGGAGTTTGCTAAGTTCATTTCCTGTTGTCTCCTGGGTATTGAAGGTGCTGAGAAATGGGGTTCAGGGTGGGAATATATCATCCTGTCGATACTACTGATTGTTTTAGCAACTCAGCTTGAGATGCGTGGCCAACACCCAAAGCAGAAGAGAATGAACTGACAGTGGCTGAGAGATAGAGCATGCCCCTTTTAACTTCATAACTTGGGATTTAAACATTATTTATAATTTGCAAGTATAAACAATGAGGTAATGGCCCCTCGGGTCTTCTGCAGCCAATTTGGACCTAAAACAGCGGTGGGTCACTCTCGAGTATCTGCAGTTCGCCTCCAGTTTGGAGCGCGATCAAGGCGTCCACATAGATGAAGTTTCTCAAACCTCTGGAGGTCGGAAATGTGAGCTGGAAATCTCATGTTCCTTTACGGTGTTTTCCAATCTGCTGGCTTGGGCGGGAATGGGAAATGAAGTTTAAGTTCAACGCTTTACATATTAACCATGCTGCTTGCCAAAGCTTCCCATCATTTTTGTAAAATGGCCTTCATCATCTGTGTGACTTTAATTTTTAATCGATCCATTCTTTTGGGTAGTAAGCCACATTAGAAATTATACAGTTGACCAAGTACTCTCTCCCTAGAATTGTCCACGTGATACCTCTCCCCAGTTTTAGAAGTGGTTTAAAGTGCGCCGCCTTCACTGCCTTATATATTTTTTCTTTATGCATTTAGAAAGAACCACACTTTTCCCCATGCTTTGTAGTCACTTCAAGTGCTGTGTCCAGTTGGGAGGGAAATCATGCCTCATTTGGGTTAGGTCCACCAAGGCTGGGTTTCCACAACTGGACTGAAAAATATAGTTGGCCTGCTTTGCTGGAAAGTGAGGGTGTCACATCCTCAGGGCGGCAGCAGGGATGACGCCTCCAGGTCCCCGCTACCTGCCTTGGTGGTGAAGACAAACTGTGGCAGGTCCAATCAACGGAAATCTCTTTGGTTTGATTGGAATCCGCTGGAATTGCTAAAAGGTACAGCATCACACTTTCCGTCATGTAAGTCACAGGAGGAAAATGTAACTCGGAAGGGCTACCAATGCTCACAGAGATGGGAAGATGTTCTCCTTGAGGCCCCCACCTGTCGTAAGTTTGAAAACATGTGCCCTAACCATGGCCTTCCATACTCTTTCCATGACATTCTGGTCCTATTGAAAAGAGAAGTTCAGGGGCAGTGCTGCCATACCCATAGCTGCAACCAGTAAACAGGCAGGTAGTTTGTGGTAACTGCTTTTTTTTGTCCTACTAAGTGTAGCTGTTCCTTGCACATGGTGGGTGAGCAGTAGTAATGCCTTATTGAATTCCACGCTTTCTTTTTTTTTTTGACAACCTAATTCAGGCTCAAAAAGCAGAGGAGAAATGAAAATGCCAAGGGGAAGTCATAGAGTTAAATTTTTTTCCATGTCTCTCCCCCCTACCCCACTCCTAATTCCCACAAGAATGAAGAGCAGATTGGAAATCTTCCTTGAGTGAAGGAAAGGATTTTTTTCTCCAACACAGGAAACTCAACACAGAACTGAGCCCAGCATTTCCTAGCTGTCACACTGGGGAGTCTGCTAAGATTTTTAGTACAGGTACAAACTTAGCATCTGGAGATGGTCAGGATATTTTTGAAATCTGCCTAGAGAAGTTGGAGAATACACACTTTGTACATTTTATGAGAGGGTCCCTTGGGACAAGAGGTGTGACAACATTTGATAAATTGCGTCATTGATATAAACATGCAAATATATGTTTGTGGATGACAATACATGCACATGTATCATATATGCACTATTCATGTAGATCATCACATTAACATCTTATGTATCTTATACACAGCCAAGCATATTTCAAGCTGCTATTACTTGAAATGACTAAAAAGTAAAAAATGCAAAGTTGTTCAGTACATGAGATCAGCTTTATATTCTGGAAGTAATAGGCTGCTGCATTAATGCTTTTTGATAAATATATTTATTTTTCCCAAACTTTTAATATTATCTTGCATGCTCAGTGTGTGTGTTTCTGGGTTCCTTCTTTTCTCAAACCCTCCTACTGTTGTTGATCTGTTTGCCATGCGTTCCCCAGCACATCGGTGGGCAAAGTCTTTGTCGAAGGCCAGTTAATACAATATAGATCGACATTCACTATTTATAAGTTAGAATTATTTTTCTTCTAAATCTTGTTGATAGGTTAGAAAAGTACTATTCTTTTTAAATTCTCAAGTTTGCATTTCACTGGGTTTTTGTCCCCCCAGTAGTCAGTAGAAATGTGGAGAGGTCTGCTTATTTTTCCCCTCCCCTTAAATGCCTATAGACATTTGTGTGGGCTTCCGTGCACCTCCGATGGAGGCTGTGACCCGCTCCTCAGTCACAACGCCCTTTGCAGCAAGAGTGACAACACCATAAGCAGAGAGCTTTGGACTTCAAATGTTACCACTGCGTGTTATTTGTCCCCTTGGAATCTTCATTGTCCCATTTTGTTCCCCAAGACGCTGATGACTAATGTAAACAGGAGAGCTGAAAGCAGTCCCCTGAGGTGCCCTTCTGGAAGGTTCTTTTGGGCTGGAGAAGGTATCTCACTGCTCCTCCTCCTCAGCTCTGTTGTGGTCTCTGAGGCTCGCCCTAGCCTGACCTCGAGGGACAAGCAGCACACTTTGATACGGAGTCTCACCAAATGCCCTCCTTCGATGGGGTGCTGTCAGCAGCGTGCTGCCGGCCAAGCACACCATTCTATCTGCAGAGAACCTTCCCAAGTTCGTCAGGCAAGACCTGCCCCATAAACCTAGCCGTCAGCCTTGGGAGACCGTTGGCAGTTCAAGGTGCGCTTCAGTTAAAGCCTGCTGCAGACTCGCCTCCTGTTTCCTTCCACACCCGATTTCTTTTGAGAGTCCATGAAGTCAGCACCTGGCGAAACCATACCTGAAAAAGAATGTAATGTCACCATTCAGTCAGTTGTCAGTTACAAGGCCTGAAGTTCTTCTGGGGGCGTCTCAGGGTGCCTTGCTCTTACCCATTATTAAGAAGCACTGATGGGTGGTGGAGAGACCGGGCTTGGGAAAAAAGGCTGTTTGGGGGCTCGGTCCCCATTTTGCCTTTGGAGATGATGGGGTAGTTATTTAATTCCTGCAGCCCAGTGTCCCTCATTAGTATAGTGGTACGTACCATATTGAGGATAGGATTAGAATTGTTGTGAGAGTAAAATAAATAGCATTTTTATTTAGCACATAGTATGTCTGTCGTGTAATATATATATATATAAAATATATCTATCTATACACACACACTCAACACCAATCTATCGAGTATACTTTTTAAGGACTTTTTAAGTAAGGACACCTTTTGCATATTATATTAATTACTTTTGTTTTCTCAGCATGAGGCTTTGGGAAATCTCTCTGAAGGACAAAACCCCTCTTCTCGCCTCCCGTTACCATACGGTCTAAAGGGACAGGAAGGCTGGCACTGAGGACAGTGGAGCCCAGTCCCCAGGAGGACAGTGAGACCCGAGACGGGTTCTTCCGTGTCCTCCAAGGGGGCTCTCACTTAACATAACGACCGCTCCCTATTTGAACCCCTGGACATGGTGGCCAGCATTTATTTATTTTTTATTTTACACACCACTCCCTTCTGCCTAGCAATTTCTCAGTCTGCTAAAAACAGTCTTCCCTGCAACCTAACCAACTGGCCTCCATTTTTTTTCTTTATACTCTCCAGTCTTCTCACTGCTCTAAATCTCTGACAGTTGTGTCCGAGTATTATAGGGAACGTGTTTTGTTTATCTAAACGAAGCCAGTGACCTTTTCAAGCATTCTCATCATGAGCTGCGCATGACACGCGGTACCTTTCTATGCAAAATGGACAAATAGCAGCGCATTCCAGGCCCTGATGGGAGGGAGCTCCATCTCCCCATCAGCTCGTCAACTTGTTAAGGAGATGCTGTGCAGAGCCGACCATGTTGACATGGTTTTATGGAGACGCATCATGACAGGGTAGCATTTTGTCACAATGGTGATGTGTGAACTTCAGAAGATTTGGATTCCGCGTCTGGACACCCTGCCAAGAATGCGCATTCCTTCTGAAAGTCTCCAGATGTCTTGTGTCGGTAGAACGGGGCTTTTAGAAATTGTTTATTTGTTGGTTTATAGCAGGACAAGAAAGAGTACATTGCCTTCTTGAACCCAATTCAAGTCTCTTCCAGAGTCTGAGAAACATACCATCGTTTCTGACACATTTTTTTCCCCTTGCTTGGTGGTGGACTTTTTTTTTTTTTGACTGAATCAAAGTCAGACTTCTTTTGAAAAAAATTAAGAAAAACAACAATGAAAGCAGACCCTTTATTTTAAGCAGTCAACATGTTAAATGTCATTTCATAAAAATTTAAGGAATGGGATACAAGGCTGGGGGGATTATAAGAAGCTGACTTTTTATAACCCTGATGTTTTCCCACAAGCACTGAAGGGAAAAATGCAGAGGCCCTTTCTGTGCTGTGTGCTTGAGCACGTCCCGTGCTAGCTGTGTGTCAGCCACTGGTACGCAGCCACCTCTGTACACAGGTTCCAGGCACGACCAGCAGTGGGGGCAGTGGGGTCCCAGACAAGCAAAGTTGTCATTGATTCATCTGTACTGTCATTTATCTAAAACAGAAACAATACTGAGCATGTGGGTTCTATCAGAAGTCATAACCACCTTTGTCACCTACCCCAGCACGTGAGAAATTGGACCAGTTCTAGGTCATAAGTACAGGGACTTAATGGTTCCATTTGGAAATTCACATCCTCTAAGAGAAGGGGGTTTTGGCTGTTCCGATCACTGTTGTACCTGCAGTGCCTAGAAAAACACAGGCACACGTAGGTTGCCCCTTACCTGTGTGTGAAATGCATGAACAGATCATCCAGGCCGATATTACTAATTTTGAGTGTAAAAATTAGATCCAGGTCATCCTACTCAGAGATTTTGTTATTCTGTTTTTTGTTTAAGTCGATGAAAAGTTAAGCTTTCCCATGGTGTTGGCTGAATTGTCATGGAGATGGTTTAGTTACAAGGAGGAAAAGTCTTCTACCTTAAACTTCTGTGGCAGAAGTGAAACTACACCTCTCTGATGTCACACTGCGGACGACACTATGATTTGCTTTTCACCGTCCTTCATGTTGCAATTCATTCCTTCATTTATGGCGAGTGCTCTTCCAAGCATCACAAGCACTGGCGATTTTCATAATTCTGGCCAATGGGTGGGACAGAGTCATCAAGAGTAAGAAATTACGGAAACCTTCATGAAACCTGGGCACTTTTCAGAAAACGAAATACCCACAGGCCATGGGTCACCGTAGAGGGGAACCATTCACAGCCAGGCCTGGAGCAGGGATTGTGTGTCCACTTGAGCAGCTGGAACAGGAGGAGAACGGACAACCCTTTCGTGCGACACTGTCCTAGGTCTAGCGTCAGATGACATTGTTGTTTGTCCGTTTTTCCTCAGCGATGTCCTTGAAAACGTAATCTCCCAGGGCGAAAACTTAGACACTCCTAAATTCACACTTAGGAAATTGACAGAGCGGCTTCACAAAGAGCCAGGGGAGAGTTTAAGAGCCACCTGGCCAATCTCCCTCCTTTGCATGCTCTTTTTGCAGAGAGAGGGGAGAGCGTGGCAACCACTTTCCCGGGAGGCATGGGAGGGAGCTCCACCGAGGACCTGTGCGGCCCCTCCCTAAGCGTCACCTCATCGCCTCCTCTCAGTAACACGGTGTGCTTAGTGCCGCACCTCTCTCTCTATTTTTCTGTGCATGAGTCAGCCTCTTTCCCAGGAAGATTAAACGGGACAATGCGTGTGAAAGTGTCATCTAAACTGCCACGTGCCACGCCAGCATCACACATTGTCAGAGCCCGTGAAGGCACAAGGAGTCTCTGGTTCTTGGCGACGGGCAGGCTCGGGGAGCCGGCTGCGGAAGGCGGGCTGGCCTGCTGTGCGGGACACGTAGTGGCGTCCACGGAGACGGCATGCAGCCGGGGGAGTTGGGGTGCTGGGCAGTAAAGAGCTAATTAGTAAAAAATGTGCCCATTCTTGGGGGATTCCACTTCCACATCTCTGGCTTGCTGAAGAATAATGAGCCTTTTACTGGCCCCCTGGCTCTTCAAGACCGAGAAGCCAAGGTGGCCACAGAGTGAGGCTAAGCCTGGTGGTGGGGACGAAGGAAACGCTGTTGCATCCCCTAGGGGGTGTTGTGACTGGGAAAGAAAATACGAGGGTCCCGGCAGAGGAAGCGGTTTCTGGAGCTTGACGCTAACTGAAGGTGTTTCCTGAACTTGAACTCTGGGACCAGTAATGAGCGGCATCGACAGCAGAACATTCCGGCAGCTTCCCAAGGAACAGAGCTGCCAGGACAGGACTGGGAGGAGGGCAGGAGGGCGTGCAGTGATTCCTTGTGAACATCAAGGTCTGAGTACATCAGGGAGATGGGTAGGCAAGTGTTCATCGGAAAGGGGCCTTTGCCTTGAAGACCCACAAAGTTGTACTTGTGCCTTAATTATATAGTGAAGGTCCTGAGAGAAGGGGGCATGTCAGTAAGTGAGACTGTGATGTCATCAGTCAGCTGCTGAGAGAGGACAGTACTGGTCTGAGAAGCAGGGAGGGCTGCGTTCGGGTGGTGGTGAAAGCACTTAACTTTTGTGGGGTTCGCATGGTTTGGCAGAGCGATGGCTGTGCTGGGATCGGGCTATCTGAAGATGCAGGCAGTGCTCTGGGTTCTGTATAAGTAGCTCCCCAGCCGCTCCAAATCAAATTCCCCTGTCCACCTCCACCCCAGCTGACCCTGAACCGCCAGTGAGTAGAACTTGAGCATCTATGTGTTTTTTCCCACAAGTTTCCAAAGTCCCAAAGAACCATTGACTTAAAAGTTCTTAGATGAAAATTTGCAAGAAGCTGCTATTCAGATCACCATTCCTACTGTCACTCAGTTTTCAACTATCCAAGATGGCACCCGGGTATGTGTCAGAGGGCACCTGTTAGGAGGTGAATTATTCTGGCAGGTGGAAACAGACACTACCTTGCTGGGTCTTAGAAGGTTCTCGGTTGCGATGGAAGCTTCATGGTCTGTTCCACAGCAGGAATGAGGAGGCAGCAGTGAGGAGCCTGGCCTGTTTCATGGGGCGCATGTTGCTGGGAGCCTTATCTTTCTGATTATGTAAAGGCTTCTCCCCGCTTCTTGATGGCGCTCCTCTCCATGGTTGTCTCCTTTTTGAATTAGCCAGATGGACCACCTCTCTGATTTCTGCAAATGGCTACAGAATTTGTATTAAGTTCATGGATGCTCCTTGTATGGGCCCACAGACGATACAATTTTCTGAGGGTTCACATTAGGATTACACTCAAATGCTGGACACCAGCTCCCCATTGTTTGGGGTGAACATAATTACTGGAGACTGGAGAGTTACAGAGGGGTCAAGCATCTAGGAGCTATTAGGAGGTGGTTAAGACAAGGGACGTGTGGAGGAAACCTACCGGAAACTCCTGCTGAGGTCTTTTCATCGTTCTTCACGCCCTGTTCTGGGCCTGTCCTCAGCTCCAAAAGTCAGGAGGGAGACCAGGCAGAGAAGAATGGGTCAGAACCTGGGCTATGGTAGGAGCGCTCTGAGCTTTAAAAAGTCTAGACCTCTAGAAAGGCCAGAGAGTAGTGGACTGCTGGGTGTCCAACAAGGAAGGCTGAGCAGGGCTTCAGGGATGCCTGTAAACAGCATCTGGTGCGCATAGCAGAGCCCAAGGCTCTCTCGCCTTGAGCACTGGAATTATGGGAAATCCTCTCTATGCAGACTTACTCCAGGGAACCCAGGGCAGGGAAGCATATGGGAAAGCAAGGCATTGAGCGGTACGTGGGCTCGTGGGCATGAGGAAGTCTATCGCACTAGGCTAGGAGTTAGAAGTGTGCCCCGTGCAAGAAGCCTGGAGCCTGGTCTCTGGAAACGGACAACGGGTTCTGTCCAGCAGCCAGGAGGACTGCAGACTTGGCTGATGAACTCGGCTCTACGGCTACGGCTCTCTGAGTTTCCCCCGGCCAGGGTCAGGAAGATTCCCAGAGTCATTCTGGTGCTGGACCTGGAGGCTGGGGCGACTCAGTGACTCCAGCTTCTAAGGATAGAAAGATACAGAGGCAGGATGCCAAGGGGATCCTCACCGTAAGTTTAAAACAAAACAAAAACAAAAACAAAAAACCTCAGTTTGCTTTCCTCACACAACTACAGTTTTGTCCTGTGAACATGAACATGTTCAGAGGAAGAAGATTAAATAAACTATTCGAACGAAGTCCCTGTTAAGAGCAATGACACTGTGGCCAAAATGGCTTTGTATAGAGTCCAAAACTATTTGCTGTCGAAACAGTCAGAGGTACTTTATGTCCTAGAATATCTGGGATGATGTGGGGCACATACCAGTGCATGTCGATACGTACGAAAGCTGTAGCAATGGTAGGGGCATACTACTGATAGTATACAGTATTTTAAAAATCGCTGCTTTTCCATTACAACTTGTTTTAAAGTGTATACTTATTTAAAGCGTTTTATTTTTACTTAGGTCTTTAGAAAACTTTCTTCGTCTTTTCTTACTTTTTAAAGGTTTTATTTATTTATTTTTAGAGAGGGAAGGGAGGGAGATAGAGAGAGAGAGAGAAAGAGAGAGAGAAACATCAATGTGTGGGTGCTGGGGGTTATGGCCTGCAACCCAGACATGTACCCTGGCTGGGAATGGAACCTGCAACACTTTGGTTCGCAGCCCACGCTCAATTCACTGAGCTACGCCAGCCAGGGCTCATCTTTTCTTACTTTAAAATAGAAAACCTGAAATGTTTGAAAACTATATTGCTGCCATATATCATCACACACATGCACACACACCCCCCCCCCCCCAATAAAACAACCCTAAAAGGAGTTAGGGAAGTATTGTGTTCACCCACAAATTGCTGAGTTAGCAACAAAATAACCAGCCACATACACCCCTTTGTATCATCAAGTAGTGCGCATTCTTAAAGTGATAATGGAACTAAATTTGGAGAGAACGGGCCCTTAAGTTTCAATTTATTTGTTTCACAATCACAGCCTCCAACTGAAGGGGAAATTACGCTGCAGTTTGATAAATAAAGCACCATACATTCAAACACAAAATGCAAAATGAAAACTTGTAGAACTTCAAATAATCAAGGATCTTAGATTAATTCCATCAGTGGTTGGGAGTTTTTTTTTTTTTTCTTGTTGTGAATTTGCTGGAGAATTTAGTATGAAAGCCCTCTAACTAGTGTCTGATTATATCAGTGTCTCCAGATCCTTTTCAAACCCACATCTGTTGTTGGGGGGTGGTTTATGGAGAGGAGATTGTGGTTGTGGTTATTATGGAAATACGGCAAAGCCCAATATTTTCAAGCAGATGAGGAGAAACCCACAAACAGTTGGCTCACAAATGCTGTAATGCTTTCCACACCGGGGTGCAGAGCAAGAGGCAGCCTCAGCACTGTTCCCGGTGGCCTCTGGTTGATCCGTTTCAAACCCTGGGCTGCTCTTGGGAGTGAACCGACGAGAGGTTTTCTCTCGTTAGTCCCCCTCTCTCTTTTTTAATTGTTGTTACTCTGTTTTGCCTGAAAGCTGCAGTATCTCCCTGTTCATTATTCCCGGTTCAGTCAAATCCTGTCCAACATTAACTCATTGTGTGCTGGCGTCAACCTCTTGTTCTGTTCCCACACCAGACGCACCAGGGCGCCCAGAGTGGGCCTTCCTGTGGCCCTTTTAGAAAGTTTGCTGGTCATGTCTGGAGAACTCTTTAAATCAACTCGATGCTGATTTCACTGCTGTCTGTTCCTTTAATATTTAAATTTTCTAACTAGAGATGGTTCCAGATATTTGACAAATTGCTCTAAAATCCTAAAGTGCCATCACATTTTGATCCCCTGTCTCTCCCATGTGGACTGAGTTCCACAGAACCTCCTTTGCCTTCTGCTTCTCTTTCCTGTCCGTTTGATGTTGAACTTTTTCAAGGAGCTTATTACGGGGACTCTAACCTGAATGAAGCCATGAGATGGGGGGAGAAAAAAGTCACCTGGGAATGAAACTGGAGAAGGAGTTTCTCTTCTCACCCTGATGCCTGAGCATCCAACTAGAATTAAGTGCAGCCATCAGAAAAACCAGAGCAATGGGGAAGTTGCTGTTATAAATTAATGATTATTTGCCATGCACGTCAGAGCGCCTGTTTGTTCCTCGTTTTACTGTGATGTTTTATTCTCATTCGGTGCAACAGTAATTGGGTCTTAAACATGATAAAGTATCTCAACACCTCATTGGTGGCTGAGCTGCCCAGAGCAGGTTTTTAACTCTAGTTAAAGAAGGTTAATCAAAGCTAATGAATCTGTTTTATCCAGTGCCACCGAGTTTTTCAAAAACAATGTGCCAGGAGGGGATGAACTAAAATCCAGATTGTTCATCTGTGAACGCAAAGACATTTTCAGTATAATAATTTTCCAAGCGTCTTTGATGGCCCAGGGTCCATGGATGGCCCCTACCTGCAGACCCAGTGGTTTTCTTATCTTCCTGCTGCTCACTCTTCTGCTGTGAAAAAATATGAGCCTTATGAAAATACAGGGGAGGAAACGCCATCCCACACTACAGCCTTCAGCGTGAGAATATCAAGAGACTGTTGCATTCAGAAGTTCAGAATAGCTCTGCTCTGTATGAAAGAATATGAGGAGGCCCTAATAAGGCTAATTCATTAGAACAAGCGTGCGTTACTAAAACACACCACGCAGGACCACAGGCGTCTCAGCCCGACTGGGCGGCAATTAAAGTGGCCTCCCTTCGCTTCCCAACGCGAGCTGCCCACCAACCCTCACCCACGGGCTCTGTTTTGTTTTCTTATGAGAAATGGCATTGAAGAATGTAAGTTCATCATTTGTCAGGCTGCAGAGGAGCACCGCCTCTCTGGCCATGACACTGTTCCGTTCACTTTAAGTAAGAAGGAAAACATTTTCAGATCATCCGTGTGTGTGTTCTTCTGCAAAGAGCAGGAACCAAAACTGCCAGGGAAGACACCTTGCCGCCTTGGAAATATTGCCTGGTTGCTTTTGGAAAAACTCACAGCGAGAAACCATCCTCTAAATATCTGAATTCACTGTGGTGGGGAGTTTTTCATCTTAACTGCAGCATTCACGAAACACACACACACACACACTCAAATCTGTAGTGACACCACCAGCCCCCCCCACCTTTGGTGGTGGCAGTGCTTTGGAATGAAATTCATAGTGACTCAGGGTTGTCACTGCCTTGGAAACCCCCTGCCAATGAGGCAGAAAGAAGGGGCGGGCAGACCTTTGTCGCTTTCCCTCCTGCTCTCTTTTTAAACCTAAATAATATTTGTACTTTGGGGGAAGGGTGTGAAAGAGGGATCCACAGACAGAGGAAGTCCGGCAGACCCCAAAAAGCCAGGGGGAGAGAGAGAGAGGAAAAAAAAAAAAGAAAGCCCATGACTGAGTCTAGCTTTGGTTCGAAGAGGGCCTACATCACAGGTTTCAAAAGCATATTTTTCATTTTCACAAGCCACAACCCCCTTGATGAAAACTAGTTGTGAAATTCAGGGCCCGTTAGGCCTCAGCTAATTAGAAAAAATGGGCTTTTTTTTTTTCTTTTCCTTTCTTTCTTTAGCACCTTTTCTTTCAAGCAGTTAGTCTCAGGAGGGGGATCCAGGCTCTCGGCCGGGCTGTTTTGAAAACACGCCTTTGAATGCCTCTCCCTAATTCACGCCTTTTGTTTTTCCGCTTTTGTGTTTGCCAGTTTGACCATATAACGTTATACATCTGGTGTATAGCTTGTTGGGGGCTTTTTTCTCCCAGGGATCCTATGCATTCCCTATAGGACCCTCCTGATCTTCGATTTGAGCGATCCTGTAACATAAAGGGGAGAAGGAGAGCGAGGAGGCTGCGGGGGAGGCAGCAGAGGAGGGGCGAGGAGGCCTGGGGGAGACACAGAGAGAAATGAGTGAAACATGAAAAAAAAAGTTGAAAAGAATTCTTTCCCTCTCCTCTTTTCTTCTCCCCGTTGCGGCTGGACCCTGAGTCAGCCGGCGACGAGGCCTCGGTGGGAAAATGACGGGACCACAGAATAGATAACTCATTGGAATTCTGGCAACATATTCGTAAATAAAACAAAAGTGGAGAGGCGGGGTGGGGGGAGGGCGGGTGTTCCTGGGGAAGCACAGAGCCGGGCGGGCGGCTGGGGACATTTCCAGGGCCGGCTCCGGACTCCCCTCCTACAGGGGAGATCTAAGCTGGTCAAAGGGAAGGAGTTGAACTGTTTTGCCCGGGCTTGCTCTGCAGAGCTCTTGCAGCTGGAGATGTTTATTATTGCAGCGAGGAGGATGCTGTTGCAAATACTTTCCAGGCCGGAGAGAGAGCTGCAATGATCCGTCGGGTGTCTCCTGAGCGGCCTGCATGTTCTGTGCTTCAGAAAGGGCTCTGTGAAAATGGGAACATACCTGGGCAGGCTGTTTTCCTCTAGGTTTCTCAAGAAGAGATGCCCCCCCACCCATCCCCCACCCAGGTTTAGTTTGCTTTTCTCTACCCCAGCCTGGGCCTCCCACGCACACCTCTGCCAAAACAGCTTGCCTGCAGGTTCCCTGGGAATTATGGGGTGTGTGGAAGCTCCCAGTCTTCAGCTGGTTCTGCTGTCCATGCACATGGGTGCACGTCTTCCGGACAGGCTCTCATTTTGGTTCCCCATCTGTGAAATGGACGCAGCATAACACCAAAGCTGGAATTCTTGCTTTTCACACACTTGGAGTTTTTTCCTGTGATGGGCTTATTTCATATATTTTATATACACAGATGTATACACATACACATAGATAGGTTTATGTCATAGATACAGGCTTATGTCATATATGTGTTTGTCTTACATGTGATGTTTGAAATATGGTGTATGCAATAAACCCACTATGAAACCCTTTATAAATAAATATAGAATAACTTGATTCGGGGTGAAATAAAACCTAGAATAAGTGGGCAGACACTATGTGGATAATCGGTGTTTAATATTATAAGCATTTTTTTTTCCTGCTGAGCAATTTTAAAAGCAATGCCTGGCATGAAAGCAAAACAAACTCATTTCAGTGCAAAGCTTAGGAGTTATTTGTGTTTCCCTGAATGCAGTGAGGGGGTGGGTGGGTAGGGAATTTGTTTTAAGTGTAGAAATATGGGAAATACAACAAACTCGGCAGACAACCCTGGAAGCCTCTCACAGTGGAGGGGTTGTTAGAGGTGTGAGGTCCCTTTAGACGGAGCTTTCAAAAACAGCCTAGAAATACATGCTGGGAGCGATCTTACTGAAAAACACCACTTTTTTGCTCCTATATTTGTAACCCAGGTTACCACCTGATGAAACCCTTGGTAAGAGTCTCTTTAGGTGGGAATTCCCAGCCCTATCTGTCCCCAATCAATGCAGCCACCTGACCAATAATGCAGATCTGAGAGTTAACACAATTGAATTAGCAAATGTTTAGAAGGAAATGCTTATAATGGGAAAATCTTTTCTTAAAAGATTTTTTAACTAAGACGCCTGGCTGTTCCAAGCCGACACATAATTACACAATAGGCTAATTTTCCAAGAATCTGTTTTTTCCTAAACATTAATCAAACCGGTAGAAAGTGCCTGCTATTCACCATCCAGATCTACTGTAATTCCCTCGGAAAAGTAACTTACCTTGGGGAAATACTTTACTTAACAGAAAACGACTGTTTATTTATTCTGCTTGCCTTGCAAGGTTGTTATCTGGTTTTTGTTTTTGTTTCCACTGGTTTCAGAACAGGGAGAAGGAAGACCATCCTAACCTAAAACAATAACAACAAAAACCATGGACTTTCAAGTTCTTAAATGGATCCCTTAGCTTCAGAAATATAAAACTGTCCCACCAAGAATTTCACAAAGTTTAAGCACAGAAGGGTCTCTATTTAATGGGAAAGACTCTCCCCATAACATCCAAAATATACACAAAGAACATGCAGCCCTGATTTATATCACAATGTCTGCGTTTAGTATATTTTCAAGTACCCTTAACAACTTGACGCCAAATCCTAAGAGATTTCTTATTCTGAGATTCCTAACCCACTTACCTGATCTGTTCCAGTTCAAGAGTTTAAATTCACAGAAAAAGGTTCTTTATGTTTCTGTGAAAACTGGCTTTATTTCTAATTATAAATGAATTTAAAATTAGAGGAGAACTTGGTGACAGGTAGCTGCAGGAGCAGTAAAGTAAAAGAAAAAAAAATGAAGGACAAATACCAATAGCAGTTGCCCACTTAGGAAAATAACATTCTGTTGCTCGACCAACACCCTTTACATCTGAGCTATTAACAGCTCTCACAGAACCAGGACCTGCCAGGAACAAACTTGATTTCCAGTGTCCCCAAGGTAATCGTAATCCACGAATTTGACTATAACCCAGCTGGCCCTCTGTAGCTGTTTCTGCTTGGTTTTTGAAGCAGGGACGACTTATCTTTCTTTGGTGGGGGGGAGAAAAGGAAAGAAAAGAAAAGAAAGAGGGGGAGGGGCAGGCAGTAAAGTTAAGAAGGACTGTGGAGAGCAAACACATGGAAATTTAATGTGAAAGTTTCTTGTTGCAATAAAGCTGTTAGGTTTGGCATGAAGACGGTTATCAGATGGCCCCTTTGACACTGCTTGAGCCTTTCAGTGAGGAAGACAAGCCTGGAGGATTAGGTTGTCAACCTCGGCCTGTCATCTCTGGGGGGAGGGAGGAAAAGTTTCTTTTCTTTTCCTTCTCATTCCGGGACTCCTTTATTAGTTGGGGTCGCACCTTCCTCCATCAGCCCCGGAGGCTGCAGAATAGGTAGTTAATGGAAGACAACTTCCACCCCACACTGGTCAAGAATGCCTTGCTTTTAACGACGGGCGAGCTGGACGCCTAATCACCCTGAGCAAGTATGAATTTATCTAAAGGGGATGTCATGTGGAACCCCCGAGCCGGCCGCCAAACGGATGGCTGCACACTTTAAGAAAGTTAGTGGGCCTTCTCCCAGTCAACTGTCAGGCCGCATAAAAGGTCTGGAACTCACTGACTCAAGCAAATGCTACTTAGCCACCGAAGGATACCAGAAGGCCCGAAGATTTCACTTTGTGGGAGCTGACAGGAAATATTGATATGTATCAAGTAACACCCCCCCCATGGAAAAAAGGAAGACGTGATTCCTTTCGGCACCATCTCTATTTACAAAACTGTCTTGTGCTTTGAAAGCCGGGTGGGGGCGGGGGGGAATGCCAGCTCAGCCCTTCACTGGGGACTTTTCCAGCTTTCTGGGGACCACCATTTACTGAGAATAGGAATCCAGCGAAATCCGGATTTTTTTTTTAAACAGCAAGACGTCTTGGAATCTGAGTTTGCAAACTCTCACAGCGTCTAGCTGACAGGTGGACCCTGCCCATAATCCCAAATGTATTTCTTAAATTGATTAACTTAGAAAACGCGCCATGGATTATGTCTTGGTGTGTTAATAGTGTAAAGTATCTCAGACATATCTGGCTCTCAAGTCTCAAAAGCTCTGAGCAGGTCCTTTGAATCAGAGATCTATCTGTGGGAAATAATCTCCCTGATCCTGCTGATTCATCACTTTTAGTGTTTGAACCACCTGGGGGGAAAAATCATAATCGCTCTGTCTTGGCAAAATTTGATCGGGAACTTGGAGCTGTTACCGTCGAATAAAGGTTGGATTGGAGGGTTTAATTTAAAAGGAAAAAAGAAAAGCACGCTAATTTTTTTTTCAGAGTACTCTATTCTCCTTCAGCAATGTTGGGCCTGAGGTAATATCCTTGAGGATGCTGGGGGTGGCGCTGTCATGAAATGCCCGTTGGCATGAAACGGCACCTCAGTAGACTCCTCATTGCAGGCCGGGAAGGGGGGGTGGAATCCGTAACAGCACAATAAACAGAGGAGAACCTGCTCGTTCTGTGAGGACGATCGCTTCCAGTTAAACAAAGAAATTTAGGGTCGTCTGCTTTTCATGAAAATCGCATACATATGGCCTTTGAAATTTTGTCACTGAAGATGGTTTTGCTCTAAGGTAAAATTCACCACTTTATAGCTTTTCAGCTGCAAATCTCTGGCTTTTTTTCTTCTTCTCTCTTTTGGCCTGCAGCCCAATATGAATGTATGATCACTAGCACAATAGTTAAACATCTGAGTCTGTTTGAAGTGCCTTCAGTGTTACAATGATGTGATGGTTGATTGCCTAGCAGTCAGTTCTAGAAAGGAACTTCATTCTGCCCCCTAGTGGTTGAGATTAAAGTTTAATGACTGCTTCATAATACATAAAGCCTCTTTCTTTCCCCTTTCCAATATTTGAAGGCCATACTATAGTGTGGGAAGTAGTAATGCATTTCTTCATAATCAGTAAAATGAATACTTTAAATGGGGAGGCTTCTATACCGAATGGACTGTTAATACAAGCCAGGGATCGTTTTGTACATGTCTTACACACTTTGTGGGTTTTGGTAAACAATAACACTTATCATTATAAATAGGTGGTGTTCCCAATACAGCATTTCCCCTGGAAAAATTCTGGGACTTCTTAATGCATGCTCTTACCCAAGAAGTGTATGGTGCTGCCCAAATTATGATATATAAATACATATAGATTCCTATGCAATATGTAAAATATATATTTATATTCACGTATATAAATATATATTCAAAGACAGTATTGCATATTGTCAGGTATTAAAACACTTCACATTTCTTCTCAAATGACTATATTTTTTAAATAGGCAATAAAAACCATCCTCCCTAATTATAGCCCTGGTTACCCCACAGGTCACATTTCTTTTGTGTTCAAGTTCATGAAGAAAGCCATGCACACCCAAGGTACAGACAGGGCTTGTGATGTCGACGAGATTTTTGATGTGGGTGGCATTGATCACGTCCAGCCTTTTCTGAGCTGATATCAAAGCAGAAGGGATTTTTTTTTTAATCCTGTCCTGGTTGGGTTTTGTTTGTTTACTTGTTTTTCATCTTCAGCATGGAGTTCACATCCTGCAGGCAGGGAAGCATCTGAAGACCCATGAAATCAAGCACCCATAGCGTCGGCACCACCCAAAGGGCGTGTGCTTAGGCCGCACGGCACTGGGAGCCCTCGTTGGGGGCAGATGAAGAAGACTGCGGAGGAGGAGGAGGGGTCTTCAGAGAGTGGACAGGGCAGCTGGACTGTGTGTCCTGTGTCACTTCGCTTCTAGGCCACTATTGTGCTGCCGATGTTGGAATGCAGGGAAGGCACCGGTTGATTGAATAAGGAGTTCTGTAAATTCCAGCTGTCAACATGCGGTCACTCCAGTGGACAAAGAGAGAGGTTTTCTCCGTACCCATATTTGATTTCTGGCCACTGCGGCAGCTTGTCCGGAACCCTTTTGCCAGCAGGTGGTATCTGGGTAGCCTTTGGAAGCCCTTCTCCCTTCAGACTGGTTCTGCAGGTTTAGCGCCTGGTTTCTGAAGGTGTTTGGATTGGCGTCAAATGACTGGAAGTTGGAATTTATTAAAGAAGAATGCCAGGGCCATAGAAATACCACATGATCGATAGCGTTTTTAAAGGAGAATCTTTGCTTATTGTTTTATTTGTTTCAGTGTAAAAACGCTTGACTCAAAAAGAATAGTCCAAAAAAAATGAGCCCACTGGATGGCTTTTCTTACTGTGGAGCGTGTCACCTGGGCTGTAACCACACCGACTTAATTCCCCTCTGTAAACACTGCCCCAGGGGACCACAGGGTCTGCCCAGGGCCAGGGAAACACTCCCTTCTTATCTGGCTGCCCACCCTCTCCGCGTGGGTTGAAAGAGGCTGCTGACATTTCTGAGCTTGTCAGTGGGGTTCTGGGAAGCTCCACACCAGCTGGAAGGGGAGGAGGAGGAGGAGGAGGAGGAGGAAGGCATTCTGTGAGTGCAACCAGCCCTGAAGCAGCCTGAGCCTCATGGGAACTTAACTAGAGAGAGAAAATTTCATCCCTGTTCACATGGGCAAAAATTATTCAAATCTAGGAGATCTCAGATACCAATTTTTAAAAAACTTTATCATAGGAAACCTAGACCATTTTCGGTGTGTGGCAAGATTGCAGCTTTTCTTCGCTCTCCTTGCAGAATTTCATCTCTGAAAAACAACCCCAGATGCTTTCCTGGTGTCAGGAATGTGGACATCCCTATAACTCTGGCCAAGGACAGCAAGTGGGACTTCCATAATGTCTTTTTAAGAAAATACAGATTAAGATGTGCAGATCACACCTGCATCGCGTTAAACTATCTGACGTGTGATTACTTTCCGTGGGGGGACATTCTAGAAACAGGTGGTTGAACACACCCACGGAATGGAGAGGTTTCTGGTGGGAGGGCTCCACAGATCAATACTATTTGGGCATCAAGAAATCACCATCTCAGCCCTGGCTGGCATAGCTCAGTGGATTGAGCGCAGGCTGCGAACAAAAGTGTCGCAGGTTCGATTCCCAGTCAGGGCACATGCCTGGGTTGCAGGCCATGACCCCCAGCAATCACACATTGATGTTTCTCTCTCTCTCTTTCTCCCTCCCTTCCCTCTGTAAAAATAAATAAATAAAATCTTGAAAAAAAAAAAGAAAAAAGAAAGCACCATCTCTTAAAACCCCTAGTAATTTGCTACCAGAGGAAACCAGCTACAGGTGAGAAGCGCTTTGCGGATGTGGCACCAGGTTGATTTTAGAAGGTGTTCAGGGCGGCCTCATTTTAAAGCCATGTTTGGTTGTCAAACACCCCCCGCCACCCCCCGCCACCCCCCGCTATTCTCTCCACTCACTAGGGAGCG